ACAAAAAGCAAAATTTTTCTGAAAAAATTATGCGTGATCTAATAAGAGAATGTGTGCTTTTTGTTTATTTGGTTGCATATTTAGTTTATTAATTAGTATTGATCATGACATGATCATGACAGTCTCATCACCACCATCACCAGCCCTTTTACGTCCCCACTGCAGGTCAGGTCTTCCTCATGGATGGTTAAGGAGGATGGGCCCTGACCCTCCACGCTGGCCCAATGCGGATTGGAGGGTATTAACGACTGCAAATGCAGCCGGGACCAACGGCTTAACGTGCCTTCCGAAGCACGGAGTAGCTCGAGATAATAATTTTTTGGTCACCCATCCCGTGACCGACCCTTGCGAAAGTTGCTTAACGACAACGATCGCGGGCCGCGGCGCTTATCCACTACGCCACCGAGCTACGATCATGTCAGTGCTTCAATTTAATTAAATTAAATAATACGATACATGTGGTATGTCATAAACAAGAACACTATTATGGTGAATATAGGGCGGGAATGAGCTTGGGTCACCCTTTTCCTGTCCACTTTTTACATTCATTATGAATATAAATTTTCATCTTAATTGAAAGTTTAAAATTTTTGTAAAAATATTTCTTTCGGCTGTTTGAGTGGATTGTCTGAACATTGATGAAAATACGCTATGTAATGGCGTAAAAGTAACAAGTGCTTGAAAGATTTGTCAATCTTGGTTAGCTCAGTGGTTAGAGCAGTGGCCCGGATTGCGTAAGGTCGCGGGTTCTAGTCTTATCTAAGAGTACTGGGGCTGGTGGATTTTTGAAGAATTTTTAATTAAGAATATTTTTACATCTTTCAGCTGATAATTTTAACATCAACGGTAAATAGTAAGATATTTGTAGGTAAGTATACAGCGGTAAGCTGTGCAAAAGAAAGGGCATAAAGAGCCATGGAGGTAACAGACTTAGCAAAGAAGGCAGACCTCCAGCTGTCCCTCGACTAGAAAGGGAGATAAGATCACGGTTCCCCGCATACGTAGTTATCGCGGAAAGATATTATAGTAGAATGATTTAAAGTTTTTTACCGATTCCAAAAAATGGAGATTATTAATTCGAGGTGTATGTATGTAATTTTGTTGGAATGGCATAATATTCATGTATGTTGGTCTGTATGGGCTTCTACTTACGTGTTGTACAAAATTTTATGCTTCATACCCTATGCCAAGTCTTTGTGCACAAGATTGCGACGCGGGCCGAGTGCGGAATGGTGGATTTTAACGACTTCACTGCACATGCACCCGGGAGCAACAAAGTGTAGATGATAATGTATTTTCAGATATATATAATCCGCTTTTGAAGTAGAATTATAGAGCAACTTTCATCCATTTACTAGGAAAGCATGAATTAACTTTTCAAGTAAGCTTACAACAAATTAATAAATTATTCTTCAGCTAGTGAAGCAACATCATAAAATTGCTGCTTTATATATCAAATGACGTATTTAAAAACTCTGGCACGTTCTTCTAAAAAGGATTTTCCCAAATTAGATCTTAAAGTTGACACATAAAACACCACTCAAGCTACACCTGCACGTGACCCAGGATTCTTTTATGTGCTCCCATAAGCACTAAACTAGGTTAAGTTACTAAACGTAACTTTAGTGAGCTGGGTCCGTAGAATTTATTTAAAGAGGTGGAAATTGGTTTAGCTCCTATATTTTATTTGATCAAGTCACGTCGTTTGATGTTCCGTTCTTTCAAGCGGATTAAGTATTCAAGGAGGTCAAATGTGAGGTTCTAATAGGACAATGCATTTTAATGGCATTACATAAAATTTCAACGGTGGACCATTGTCCCTGTGACCTTTGGACTCGATAGACTTTAATGACTTATTTTGCTTTGATTAATAGTTGGAATCTCGAAACCCCACGGTTGCGAAATTAAAATGGGAGTGGGCTGGACATGTCGTCCGTAAGAACGGGTCGTAGTGTAAGACAGTGGTAGAGCGGAGACCATGGGGTAAGAAATGCCCATGAGGAAACCGCAGATGCCTTGTTACGATAACATCAAAAGACTAGCTAGAGGAATATTGCATAAACTGAGGTAGGCCTATAAGGGAGACCTTAAAAAGCTAGGTAAGTAGATGAAACGAAGTAGAAAAAAACAGTTTTTATGCAAAAATAGGTGTTACTTTTAAATCGACAAGATGGAGAAGCTTCCAGTCTCGCTTTCAAATAACAAAGAAAGAATCTTTGTTATTTGTGAACCGTTTATTACTGTTACATAAAAAACAGTGAAAACATGTATTAAAAAGCTGATAAGTTTGTTTGTTTGGTTGAACGCGCTAATCTCAGGAAATACTGGTAAGAATGAAAAATTATTTTTGTGTTGAATAGTGTCTATTGTGAGACTGAAAAATTTTGCAAAAACCGGAAAACGAAGCGGGTGAAGCCGCTGGCGGGAAGCTATCTGTTAATATAATACGAGTATAACGACAGATCTAAATATTCTTCACAAATTTTCTAAGTTATTCTCAAGTGATTTACACACTTTGGTAAATTATAAAGATTTGTTTAAAGAGCTTAGGTGTAAGTCTGGTAGACAGAATGTAGCTTAGAGAAAATCATGAAACAATTCTTTGCGATAATAAAACTAAGAAGATAAGGGATGAATCTTTCATCTTTGCAGAGTAGTGGATGTAGACGAAAATTTACCTTGAAGCTTTTGATAATCTAATACCTAAGTCTGAAAGTGTCTCTTAAATAATAAACCAAAGAAATAAAAAGTAACACGTTTTCAAATGAACTAGAATATCAAACAAAATAAACGGATAAATATCAAAAGGCATCTACAGAATTCTTTCTAACAAAGTTCCTTATTTATTATACACCCAAGGGTAAGATTTGATGTTTACAAAGGAGTTTGTATATTAATTTCACCCTCTTTAGAGTCGGATTTTTTTATCCGAAAAGAATCGAGTTTTTATAACCTTTTCCTTTGCCTTATTAATGTAACAAAGACAACTTTATGACGAAGCTACTAAAGTCACGGCATTATGAAAGTATTGCTGGTAGGTAAATGTAATGAATTATGATTGTCATATTTTTTGGCTTGCTTTGACTTTACTCGAATAATAATAAAAATACAAACCAATCAAAAAATTCCGTCTTCCTGCTAAATTCCTCTTTTGTAGCTTGATACTTTTGTGAATTCAACGGACGTCCGTTTATTTACAATTATTACTCACATAAAAGGATATAATTAATATGAAATAGCATAATGTTGAATGTCTGGCTGTGACTTTGTGGCCTTTTCTATCGAGTAAGTTTAACTAAACTATGCCCGTACCTTTACAGATAAGATGATGTAGTTTTCTAATTTTGCATAACAGTCTAATTTGAACCTTATTTCTTTGTACCAAACCAGTCGAAAGTTAGTGTTTTGGATATAATTTCTCTCTTTTGAGTATAGTTGATCTTTTTGGGCGAATTAAAGTAAGAAAGGTAGACGCTCGCTTCAAAATAAATTTCAATCTTTCTTACGGTACCATTATAACAAGTATTCCAAGTATTATTGCCCACAGCTTTATAACAATCTCAGAGGATTATTTTCAAATTATGCAAAAGCTGTTGAAAATAATATTTTTATTGTCTTTTACTTTGTAAAAAGCTAAATGCGTTTACAGAAAAATCTCCTGTATTTCTTTGAGCCGTGGTCTGCAGGGAATATAGTAGCAATAATAACAGGGAATAATATTGCATAAATAAAGAAATATCCTTCTAATGTTACTACTGGGTATAATTTTCCAGGGAAACATGCAAATCCCATTGCATTCATTCCAAGGTAATAGATGAACTTATATAATATTACCTAAGTTATATGTATATATTTATACGTTTTATTATTTAACAGGGATATTACGGATATGTTATTTCAGTTACGGTTATGGTTACGAATATGATTTCTGTTCAGATTACCCGGTAGTTTCGGATAGATTTGGTTAAGCATACCAGATTTTTGAACAATTTTAAAAGTCATATACAAATATATAATAAAAATTATTTATTTGAAGAGGTATTTCATTTGGTACTTCAGATCAAATCAAATTAAGTTTAAAAAGTTGGCAGTTATGATGTATAAACAAAATTCTTACATAATGTCAGATTCATAAGGCACTGAAAAGTATTTAATATTATTAATCGACTTCAAAATTCAAAAAGTGGAGGTTATGTTTACCGAGGAAGTTTTTTTCGACAGCTTAAGGGACCGTCTCATTTAATTATTTTCTATGGTCAAGAGGTATGTATATTTCCTATTAATAAAAGTTGGTATGTTAATTGATTTCTTCTTGAATTGTGAACCAATTTCTATAAAACTAGCTATTTAATTATATAACGCCTATGTCCAACGCGCATTAAGTAGCTTCCCATACATCAAAGAAACAAGGAATCCAATATTTCTTCTTTATAAAATATGAGTATAGAATTATTGGAATAAATTTATGTATAAAATCTTCTTTTCTAAGACTTTTACTACGTTGCTTTTTTTTAAATCACCTTTTAATTGAATCACTTTTTAATGTATTAAATTCACAGGTCCAGTGCGGATTGGTGGGTGTTGCCGGGTTTAACGGCTTCAAACTTCTGAAGTACGGAGGAAATCGAGATGGTAAATTTTCGATCGCCCATTTTATAATCGGCTTTTACGATGGTTAACTCGCAAACCAAAAGCGTTAACCGCTACGCCATAGAACTCCTAAAACGATTTATATTTAAGAAAGAAATGGTCGCAAACATATCTACGTTGGTGACAGCGAATGAATACTTATCATGGGGCTCTTAATCCACTTGTTGCGAAAAAAGAATTTTTTCATAACATTAATGTAAATTTTCAAAGTGGGTGTAACACGGGCAGTAATTAGATTAATGACTGTGCTATTTACATTTAGGATGACACGAATTTGACCGCCATTTTGTCAGACTGTATTGCGGAATTTAGATGGACCGTGATCTGTGTGGGTTAAAAATAAGCGTATTTTATCTTATGAGTAGATTATTATTTGGTAAAACGGTAATACCTACATGAAAAATATATGTGATTCATTACCATTAACTACAGAAAAGACAACCTCATTTTTGGAGTCGTTTAAAAGTTAGTTGTTGGTTTCATTCGTTTGATCCACTCTTAGAACTAGTGCTATACAAGTAAGGCACTACCTATGTAGTACCATACTTGTATTATCGACACGTCCTACGCATAAATCGCTAACTGAAAATGACAACTTTTACAGGAGATCTAAATGAAAGTTGAAACGGGTATTGGATCTTAACCTTAACTACTGCAGTTATAGGCCTAAAAAGGGTCTTGCTTTACTCGCTCGATCTCTCCTTTAAACATATTTGTCGCCCATTCTGTGGCGACGTAATCTGTGGCGTTTGTAATTTGAGGCGTTTATGTACAGTGCATTTGTAGTTGAACTAGTTTGATAGTAAACTCTTATCTGCGAACACGTATGTAATGAATATACATTTTACTGACCCCTCAGATACATTATACAGTCAGATATGTACCACAAAGGGCTTCCAATCCCGCAGCCTGTATTCAATCTCGATATTTGCGGGACTAATAATTAATCTTTAATCCTAATATATATATTTGACCAAATGTTTCAATAAAGAGCTAAACCAACATTCGGTAAAAATTAATTGAACATCAACGATTACCGTATTACTTATATTACGTATTACTTATACCGTACCGTATTATTGTTTCAAACGGCGAATAGATTTGGCGATTTATGCTTTTCCTTCGCTTCTTACAAAAATAACTGAAGAATTATCATTATACTTATTACATTTACATATAAATTAAACAGCTTTTTAATGAATTAGTAACAAATCTTACTGCATAATGAGGTCAATGCTAATTAGTAGGTACATTGGAATCCATAATTTAATTTTCACGGAACACCCGTCCAAAGTGATTTTAAAAGCATTTCGGCTTAAAAGAAAAATTTACTTATATATATATATAGTAGGTAATTATACGGAAAACTTTGCTTACTAACGATCTTGTTCTAAATTAAGTACATTTATAATCCCTCACTTTTATTTGGTATTGTATAAAACTAAAAAATAAAGTCACGATAGTTTGCCAGTAATTAATTAGAAAACGTTTTCGTCGGAGAATTTGGAATTGTGTGTTCCTATCCTTACTTTTAAACTTTGCGCCAATGATAAATATATTTTTTTCATATTTTTTCAAAACTGTTTTCTTAGTAACATTATGTATTTTCAATGAATGGTTAAATTAAAAGGTAGATAATTTTTTATGGAATTCTGTATCAGAAATGTTCGAAAAAGGTTTCTAATATTAGCTCATAAATTAAACATCAAACGTTTTAATTTGTATTGACAGCTGATATAAAATAAATTGAATTTGGAACGTAATTAATTTAACGTCAAAGCAGTCAGTTTTGATTGAACCAATCAAGCTTCACTTTGCTTGTAGTCTGGTACCTACTTTATAATATCATCAACTAATTAATTAAATTTAAAACTAAATTAAGAGAATTCAAGATATCAAGTTTCTTCTAAATCACTGTATAATTGTTACAATTACTTTTCATTGTCTATTTCTATACTAATATTATAAAGAGGAAAGATTTGGTTGTTTGTTTGTTTGAAACGATTAGGCATACAAACTACTTTTCAATTTTAGGAAGCTACATCATATGCTGTGAAAAAAGGCTATATTTTATCCCGAAAAACAACAAATAAAAGGATGAAAATGGGAGTGCAAGTTTGTATAGGGTAACCATTGCTTATATTATATATTAAATTTGCCATGTAATAACATCCGTATCATGATATGAATCGATATCCAAACAAATAGTTCCCTAGGCACCACGCAGGCGAAGTGAAATATTATAAACAGGAAAGATTTGATTGTTTGTTTGCATCGAATAGTCTCGTAAACTACTGGACCGATTTTAAAAAAAATAGCTACGCTACGGTAACACCATACGGGGATGACATAGGCTATATTTACGCGTGCGAAGTCGTGGGAATAGCTAGTTTCTGATAAATTCATTATCATATTTAATGAAATTTGCATTCAAAAAGCTATACTGAAAAATATTCTTAATGAAATTCATTGTCGTCTATTTCAGTCAATTTCCACAAAAAAATCAAGCCTTTGGAATTGTTCATTATATAAAATTTGCTGGTTTTTAAGTGTACTCGCGAAGACTAGATTTCACGGCCAGCCTGCTCGTAGCGCCCTAGACTGTAGAGTAGCCTAAGGGTTAGGTCAGGCCCTCGGTTTATCCATATTTCCTTCAGTCTTCCTCTTCTTATTTTTCCATCCATTTATTTTACTTATTATTCCAGGTATTTTAGCTTACGTGGCAAATAAATCTAAAAACGAACATAAGATTAGGTACTTATAGTTTTAGTATATTTCTGTGACTTTAGTTTTAAAATACTGTTGAAAATTGTTAATTTTGAGATAAATTTCGTGTGGTCATCACAGTTGTGTTTTTCACTATCGCAAGACGAATGGGACGTTAACTGCACATCACTTTAAGATCGTCTGTGGATTAAGTACAAAAGGCTATCAAAAAAAGGACTCTGTGGTTAAAAGACCGTTGAGGTGCAGGCGTGAGAGAAAGTTTTGAAAAAAGTACATCACATGTATGCATTTTTCGTTAGACTTGTCTCAGCAATAAACCTTGTTTAAAAACAGCATAAGTTTTTCTTTCAATACTTTTATGTCTATACTAATATTATAAAGAAGTAAAGTTTCTAACTACATTTATTGGTATGGGGTATCTTCGGAAATACTGACCTGATTATAAAAATTCTTTCACCTTCCAGCTTCCCGTAAGCTACATAATACGCTGGTGACAATGGCTATGGTTAACGCGGCCGAATTGCTAAACAAAGAGGTGTCAAGTCTATAACTGCAGGAGATTCCAATACTAGTGCATTTATTTACAAAACCAACTAACCAACTGATGTGATAGGCAACCGGCAATATGGCACTCAGTGTTTACGTCGAATTCGGAAATGTAAATGAATTGACACTTAAAGATTGCATAAAAATACTTTTTTTGGTTTGTTATGGCCTTAGCAAAATAAGATATTTAAAAATATGTCCGGTAACACCTAATGTATGTCGTCAGAAAATCTGAACATTGAATAAAAGCCCATTCACACGATCCTAGAGCTAACTGAAGATGTTGCTATCGTACATTCTTACCTTGTATGATACGAAGTTTAATGGCGAATGGTTAACACGTTTGCTTTGCCATGCGGAGGTTAAGAAAGTTTCACAAGGGCCGGTCTTACGACGGATGGTCAAAAATTCTCTGTCTTTAGTTAACCCATACTTTTGTAAGCTATATATTTAAGCTCAATGTAAAACCGATGATCCTCATTGATTTTGCAGTTTTTTCACAATTTGCATTGCAGCAGCAAGGTAGGTTTTCCCCCGATCTCCCATCCACTGGGAAGGCTTGAGCCTTGAGTTCCAGCTGTCATTAAATTATTTATTTATAAGTAATTACATTATGATTACGTTTCTCTTACCTGTGTCGAGACAGACAAGGCCTCGGCAGCAGTCCCCGTTGGTGGCGCACGGGGAACTGTAGCAATGGGCCGGTTCGTCGATGACGTCATCAATACGGTTGCCTTCCAGAGCTTCAGCATAAATTTCCTCAGGATCCACCTTTGACAAATGATAAAAACTTTTTTATAAGTATGCTGTAGCATTGTAACTCCATCCCTAGGCCGCAGTGACGTCATAATAGGGATGATGATAATTTTTAGTCTGTCCGTCAGATAGGTTTTTTTAATCCATAAATTACGGCGATACGTTGAGTTGAAATGTTGCATGACACACCTTTCACACCTTTGCACTTTTTCTACATAGTTGTGATGTAGTGAGTCCCAACACCAGAACTTTGCCTTTTATCTAAGCCATTTTATGTTCAATTGCAGCAAAATAACGTATCTAATATTTTTATATTATCTGACTAATGACCGAAATAGATCTTTAGATAGAAGATAGAATTGAGTTGCATTTGGAACGATTGACACTTCTTTGCTGTTAATAGTTGACGTCTCTTAGTTGATTAGTCTTTAGTTCTAATTTGGTATTGTATATCTATATTTTATATGGTTCCAGAAAACAAACAAGCGATCAAAGTAAAAGAGTTGCTATTTGTACTCTTACTATTTGTATTTGTTGATGGTGGATAAAAATAAATCGCCGAAATGTATGTACATACGTGCATAACTTCCGAACGACTGCACCAAATTGGATGGTTCTTTTTTCACGTGTTTCTTATTGTCAGGACGAAGTTTGTATATTAAATTATAAAAAAATCTTTAGTCGCGACTGGATAAATAAAATATGACTGCACGAAGTTCGCCGAATCAACAATAAATAAATATTAGACAAATCACATACACCCGAAATTAAGTAATTTCTATGTAACAAACACTGTTTAAAAATCCTACCTACATCAATTAAGCGCCAATAAAAAGAACCCTTTTAAAAAGCCTCATTGTTCCTCGACCCAAACTAGTATATAATTTTATTTTTATTAAAAATAGATTAGAAAATGTAAATAAATTTTGTGCCAGCAAAGGTCAACTTCAGGTCGGTGAATATGTGCAGTGACCTTTATGTTCATCGTAGTAAGGTTCAAAAGCTTTTAGAAAATTATATTATTTGAGACAGAAAGGTCTTGTAGTCCAATCCCATTTTAGTAAAAGAAAAATAATGTTATATCTAAATCGAAGTTATGGTCTTCGATTCTTCGTCATTGAAAAATATATCTTGTGTTATATTTTAAAGTAATTTATTACAATATATGATACTCCATATTCACAATGATCTAATAATAATATTACGTTAAGGAGAAATCATACATCTAAATCTTACAACAGTTCATTTGTTATTGATGATAACCCGAGTATCTTGGAGAACACTGCTACCGACCATCAACTGAATTCGATAATACTTCTACAGTTAGACGAACTCTTTTAAAGAAAAAAGTTTTTTTTTCATTGGGCTATCTAGCGCTATCTATAATGAGCGCGTTGATAAAAACTTAGGCGGATCCTGAATGTGGACCAAATTAAGCTGCATTTCAGTACGGAGCATTATATTAGGTGCTAGCGTGTATATACAAATTTTTTGTTTTGTATTCATAATTGCTATCGAGACGCTTCTCTGGTGGTCATGCATAATTAACATGCTTAAACGATTTTACACGCCCCACTTAAGAAGAAGTACACAAGCTATTAAACAATTTTAAAATGTGACTTTTGCGAAATAATCTGCAACATTTATTACCTGACCGTAGGCGTAATGGCGGTACGGTCCCCTACCGTATCCCAAATTAGCGAGCATATCCGAGCTGAATCGATTGAAGAGTCCACCCCACGCGTGGGTCGTCGCCAGACAACCCAACAGCAGGAACGCCACGGCCATGCTGGTACTGACAAAGAAAAAATCTTATGTAGAATATAGAAAAAAAAAAATATAGCCGATATGATAGATATACATCGTGTCTGTGTTATCGTGTTTCAACTGTTACTTATTAAAATTTTTGGCTCTTTTACTAACTCCTGGTTGGCTGCCTTCTACAAACAGCAAACACGTGATAAACTATGACAATCGCCCAATATAAACATGCATCCTCACGCTAGGTAAGCGCGCTAGTATATTCCGTACTACCTACATACTTGGTGGATCCGCGCTAAAAATCGACACCGGCGCCGATCTCTTGCAAACACAAACGACAAACAACGAACAAAAACGGCCATCGTATCGAGCTACTACAGTAAATTGCTTATCTAATGTAGAGAAAATAAAAAGAGTTGGACGAAAAAACTCACATATTTTCCTTTCCACACATTCCTTATTTTGGGCAGTCGCTAAAGCGTTAACTCTTTAGCGTTAGATAACGTTAAATAAAAAATATTTCTTATTCTTTTCAATCCTTGCAATGTGCCATCATCTGTCCTTATCTATCAAATCGACTGGTAAAATAAATAAAATAAATCGGATTGCCGATTTTGTGCTTTTTTGTCGAAAACAATTTACCAAACCTTATCCCGACAATAATAAAAGTAATAAAGCTTTTAATTTTCGTTGTGACGGATAGAAAGAGTTATTATTGAGATTAAAAAACAAACTGTCCAACGAGCGAACCCTTTGATGTCGTCGAGTGGGACCAAAAGCCTTTTGAATTGATTGCTATACTGTTTTCCATCGAGAAATATTAGATTTCGGTGTCTGTTAACTTGAAAAATGTTTTAATTAAATTCTCCGCTCAAAATATAAAATTAAATGAAATATCTCGGTGTAGACGATAAAAAAATGAAAAGTAAAACGTATATAGTAATAGAATATCAGACATAATTATTAGTTATATTTAGGACTAGTTTTTAAGTTTTGCTTTCCATATAATAAAGGTATACTTTTTTCCTTTTGTGATTTGCACGCAATTTTATAAAAGATGAAAAGAAAAGAAAATGGAACTATTTTATTTGTCATATTATTTCGTAGCTTTTTGTAGTATCGTAATTCTGAGAATGAGCGGAGTTTTTCTTAAGAATAATTGATCTCCGAGTTAAAAACGTTATGGGTTAAAAAGAGATTTTTTGAAGGGGTAGTCCAACTTTAGAGAAGCATCGAAATTGAAAAACACGCGATTTAATTACTATTTTACTAGACCAATGTCTCATTCTAGAGCCAACAGAGGACTTGTTAGTATGTTTAAAAATCAAATACGTACAAAAATATACTTATTACGTCATCATAATCCATCATCCGGCTGATGATGAAGCCTATTAATGTCCCCAATTAGGGCCACAGGTTCTGATGAAGACCAGTGACTTATGGAAGGCTTCGAAAAGGGAGAAAGGTTAATAATAACTAGGCTTACCATAATAACGAAGAGCCAAACCGGGACGCAGAAGAGAAAGAGGCTCATTTTCATTTTATTTTCATATTTGAAATACAATCAAAATTATTATGAATTGAAAACATATTAATAAATGTGAATATATTTTTTATTAAAAAAGATAAAGAGACAAAGTACAATTAATACAAATAACACTGAAAATTTGCCCGGTTTTATTATTCACCCACGCTTGCTTTATATTTTTCACTAGAGTGCACTTTCTTCAGAATCGTTCTGTCGTGCTTAATTTTGTCATAGAATTCACTGCATGACATTTTCAAGTTGAGTTTGCACGTAAGCAAGGCTTCCACAACGCATTCTTCCATCCTCCCCCGATCGTCAGACCACATTTTTTTCATCTGTGAAAAAATTCTTTCCACTGGCTCTGAAGAACCGGGTAGACAGACACATAGCAAATTAGACAATTTTTTTTAAATTTGGCCTCTCAATATACTGCTTGTGAAAATGGGTGAATGGCGCGAGGGAACGATCGGCCGGGGTATCGGTGTTGTTCAAGTTTGACCGGGACGCTAATGCAGACCGGCCGGGACGCCGGGACAGGGATCTCAAACCGGGACAATTCCGGTCAAACCGGGACGTATGGTAAGCCTAATAATAACCCATAATGCGACAATGTGTTTGTGCTAATGACTGCATTTACATCCAGAGGGTTAGAGATAACAATCTTTTGGTAACCCACCCTATGACAGACATTTACGAAAGCAGTTAAACATATTGCTAATGTTTGATGACTAATTTTTATTTGTGTAATATTTGTGTAGATTATTGAACTATTTTTTTGCGTTATCAACAAATTACGGCGATACGTTGAGATGAAATGTCACATGACGCCACTCCTTTGTATATTTTCTACATAGTTGTGACGTACCTAGCGCCCGCTCAACTAAAATGTTAATTATCTAAATCATGTTAATTTGAAGTAAAAAATATGTAGCTAATATATTTATATTATCGGAATAAATTGACTTTTACCCAGTCATCGTCCTTATTAGCTTGTTAATATTGTGAAGTATTTTTCGATAATAAACTATTACTTCTGTCTATAAAAGTGTTACTAATTTCGTCGTACGTTTACTAATAAATCTGTGAATCCGAAAAGCCGGATATTAAGTAAGTTCTCCATTAATATCTTGTATCTAGACGGAACATGGGTGGATATTTGTTCACAGGACCGGATATTGACAAGATCCGGTCTCGGATTTCAGAGAATTTCGGAAAATAACAAAGGTTAATAACTTAGTAAAATGGAAGTTAAGCTCACGGAATAAAAAAGGTAAGAGCTGTTTTGGAGGTTCTCGACCTTACTTTATACTATCTGTTTTCTTGTGACTTCACCTGCGTAATTATAGCCTATGTCAACCGCGTATAATGTAGCCTATTCAATGTATAATATAGCCAATTCAATGCAAACAAACATACAAAGAACGAAATCTTTCTTCTTTAGTTACATTAGAAAAGGTTCTAATTTTAAATCTCGAATTTTCTAATCTCGAAGGATTGTTTCAGAAGGCATGCTAAGCCGTTGGTCACTACATATGCTATCGTTAACACCCACCAATTCACACTGGGCCTGCGTGGTTGGTTGCCTGTTATTTGATTTCATGCTTCGGTAAGGCATGTGTCCTTGAAGTGGGGACACAATAGTCGCGTCATGAAATCACGTGCGTTTTAATTCAGTCTGATCTCAGCCTTAGGCTTGGCGTGACAGCCCCTCGCCTACGAAGGATGTGAATATGTCAATTATCGTAAGGATAAAAAATGAATCGCCCGTCACCGGAATTGTTGTCTATTCTCAAAACAAAAAAAAAATGGCTTATCATTATCCCAACTTATAATGCTTTATATTAACATATTTTTAGATTCAGGCTTTATTGGCCTATATATCCTTTTTTTGTGTAGTAGAGGGAATGCTTTGTCCCTGCCGTGCGTCAAACATTAAAATTTTCATTAGTTTTAAGTGACATTACGCATACAAATTTGATATTCATTAGAGTTTAAAGGCACCTTCATTAGCTCTTTAAACCGTAATAGACGTTTGTGCAATTGACCGAATGCATGTTTAACCAAGTTATATAATTTTGAATCTAATATGGCGGACGGCCCGAAATGGCTACCAAGTTATTTATTGTGCACTGTCATGATGTAGGAATCAAATGAAATTGTTTGATGAGAAAAAGACGAAAATAAATTTATTCTAAATTTGCACGCTCATAATATGAGTATAAAATGAAAGGTTTCACTTACAAAATTACCATATTTTTTTATTTTATTATAAATCAAATACTGCTGACCATCCAAGATGGAGGACTAGGTATCTTAGCAATATCAAAGTATGGGTATGAGAGAAAGGTTTCGCTAGGAAAAATGAGATAAATTGTTTTATTTTATACTAAATTCAATATAGCAGATTAGCCAAGATGGAGAACTAGTTATGTTTAAGCGTTTGATTACATTAGTGTTGAGAAGACTAACATATCATAAAAAAATAATAAAACAAATTATACATCGTTTTCATAGCTTTTCTTAACTTTTGTCCGTCCATATTTAAAAAAAAATATATATGTTTGTAAAGCATGTTGTTTAGAAACTTAGTATTTTTAATTGTTGTTTGTAATGGATGTAATGCAATTTTCATAAGTTGTTCAAAAAAATAAATACATTACAAAATTAAATACGTGCGTGTACCCGTGCTCTGATTCTTATTCACAGAATTGAGAACGCCGTTTGATGGAATTAAAACTAGACATTTTTTTGTTGTTTTAAACCTTCATGGTCATTAACAATATAATTACAGTTTTAGTTTAAAATATCGAGGACTCAATAAATACAAGGTACATGGTAGAGGTTCCGTAGAAAACCGTAATTCTAAATGTATATTCTAGTTGGGGAAACGAAATTACTACATATGTTCAGTTTATATCGTGCAATAATATCACCTGTTTAAATACAACTTTATGTTCATTTAAATGGTACCCTTAAAGGTAGCAAAAATTTGAAACCCTGGGACCTCAGAGATGGCGACCTCTTGAAAACCGGCGTAATAACCACTCGACTACTGAGATCGTAAAATTAAAAAATGGTATGGCGTTATAACGAAAACAAAAGATAAATATATCAATACTTTATAAGCTTATTGTGATTTCGATCATGGAGGAAATAAGCTTTTTTGTTTATATTTTTCTAAACTAAAACTAAATTAACAAAATTTTTAATTACTATGTACAAAGAACGCCATAGAATTCAATAACTCGAATGAAAACGAAGTTTCTAAATTTTTTTAATCACTATTGTAGTTATTTTATTACACTGTTATTAAAACATTATTTTTATTTTTTGAAGTCTGGTTAAACATTTAAAAAGAATATTAACAAAAACAATCCAATATATCATCGACAATATTGGGTGGGTGTATTCACAAAAAATAAAACTTTCAGCATTCCACTTGGAAAAAGTTTTTAAATGCGGTTAAAGTTACATAATGAAAAATAAAAAAAATGCATCC